CCCCAAAACCCCAAAACCCCAAAACCCCTGAATTCAAGTGTTGAAGCATAATGGGTGATGAAAAGAAGAATCTTAAGAAGTTAAATGATGAACTAAGCATTAATTACATCATATTTATGATTTTCTCAGTGATCATGCCTTCTCTATAAATAGGATAGTTCAAAGACCTGGAATGCTATATTGAGTGGCGAAATTTTCTACATCTTTAGCTAATTGATCAATCTCTTCGTCATTTTCAAGAGCTGGAAGGAAATCCTTAAGTTGCTTTCCTACTTATCCTTAGATTCTCTTTGCAATAGCTACTGATCTTAATAAAAATCCTGCGATAACAACCATTTCAGATTCTTTCATTCCTCTTGTAGTAACAGCTGGAGTTCCAAGTCTGACACCACCTGGGTTAAGGGCACTATAATTATAATAAATAAATATATATCTTACGATTTGTCTCCAACAAGTGAATTTTTGTTAGTAGTGATGTGGACTTTATCCAATAATTTATCTACCTTAGCTCCAGTTAAATCGTGAGGTCTCATATCCCACATAAGCAAATGGTTATCAGTGCCTCCTGTAATGAACTTTTCCCCTTATTCAGATAGAGCTAATCCAAGTGCTCTGGCATTAGCAATAACCTATCTTGAATAATCTCTAAAAGCCTCAGAGTTGACTTCTTTAAGCTGAACAGCGATTGCAGCAATATTGTTATTGTGTGGACCACCTTATAGTTGAGGGAAGACAGCAAAGTTAATTGCCTCTTCATACTTCTTTCTATAGAATATAAGAGCAGCTCTAGGACCTCTCAAACTTTTGTGAGTTGTAGTTGTTACTACATCTGAATGATCAAATGGAGAGGCAAGAAGTTTTGAAGCGATGAGACCACTAGTGTGAGCAATATCAGATAAAAGATAAGCTCCCACTTTATCTGCGATTGCTCTAAATCTAACATAATCGAAATCTCTGGGATAACCTGAGGCACCACAAATAATCATATTTGGTTGGAATTCTTCTGCTGCCTTCTCAAGAGCCTCATAATCAATCAAACCAGTTTCCTCTACAACCTAAAGTATATCATAAATGGATAATTTCATTTACATAGTAAGGTCTAGATTCAAAATAAAGACTAGATGCTGATACTTTCTTAGTCTCACTTTGATGACCATGAGTCAAATGACCTCCATGAGCAAGACTCAAACCCATGATTTTCTTTCCTGGACCAAGAAGAGCAGTATAGACACAGAAATTGGCGGGGGATCCTGAGAGAGCTTATACATTAACTCCCCATTCTTCAGGATTTAATCCAAATGCTTCAAGTGCTCTTTTTTAACATAAGCTTTCAACCATATCAATGTACTCATTGCCACCATAGTATCTTTTACCTGGATATCCTTCTGAATATTTGTTTGTGAGGCAGGATCCTAATGCCTCCATCACGGCCTTTGATGTAAAGTTTTCTGAAGCTATAAGCTCGATTCCCTTGAATTGTCTATGTTTCTCCTTTTAAATAAGGTCTGCGATCTCTGGGTCAACTTCGGCAAGTGAGGCATTTTCAAATGGAAGTTTTTGGCTTGACTCTACCATCTTGATCTAAAATAGTTGTGAATTGAAAATCTTTATAAACCTGACGTAATGTCTTACTTTAATGTTTGAGTTTTTGATAATTTAATTAATACATCATCATTAATGGACCAGATATTACCATAGGGGTTTTGGGGTTTTGGGGTTTTGGGG